GGATGCTGCGGTTGAAGGCCGACCCCGTGAACATGGACGTGACGGGGTACGTGAGGTCCAGCACAGGCTCCAGCACAGAAGTCATGCTCTAGGGGAAAGGAGGGCTGGCTGGGGTCAAAAGGAGTCACTTAGGGTCACTAACAAAGTAGTCACTAAGGATGCTGATTGCATAAGTGGTAAGCTGGGGATTAAGGTCACTAGCCAGGAGGTCTGATCTACAGTCCTGGAGATAGCTCTACAAAGGTTCACATATCAAGTCAGAAAAAGGTCAGGAGAAGCCCAGAAGCCCCTGTGGGATCAAGTTTCAAGGTGCTCCTGGGATGGAGGGGTCGACCACCCACACACACCTTGGCCCACTCCCGGGCCCGCTGCTTAGTGCGGCTGGCGCTTCGCTCCTCGGCATAGAGGGCCCCAATGAAGGAGCCAATGGATGTGCCGCCCACTAAGTCGACAGGAACCCCAGCCTCCTCTAATGCCTTGAGCACCCCAATGTGTGAGCAGCCCCTGCAACGGGAAGGAAATCTAGTGACCAACTGGGAATCCCCTAGGCCCCACCCCCAGAAGAGTCCCTTCTCCCTTCTCCCCGGCTGGCCAAAACTAAGGTGCCAGCCCTGCCCTTATGGGAATCTCACCAGGGGAGCAAGCTCCACCCCTCAAACACCCTGGTCACGCCCCTGCTGGCGCTAGCCCCACCCCATCACCTGGCTCCGCCCCCACCCAGCACGAGGGCGATGGTGTTGCCAGTGAGCACCCGCGCCAGCCGGGAGAAATCGCTGTGCCGGTCCGCGCGTCTGGAGAAAACCTTCTCGTACAGCTCATGCTGGGATGGGAAGAGAGATATGACCCATGAGGATGGGGATGCAGGAGGTAGCACCTGGACCTCCATGGCCCCGTCCCCACACGTCCCCACACTATACCCCTCCAAGTAGCCACGCCCCTCAAGTAGCCATGCCCCAGAAAAATCTGCCGAGGGGCCTTTTCTTTGGATCTGGCCCTCACCAGTTTGGCGGGGCTTCGGCGCGAGAAGAGGCGGCGGGGACAGCGCAGGTGCAGGTGCCCAGAACACCAACTGCGCATGTTAAGCCACTCCACGGTGCGTGTAGGGCCAGGGCCCTCCTCACGATGCAGCAGGACCAGCTGCTTGAGGGCGCGCACCGCTGTGTTCTCCAACATCTGCTCCAACTGCAGGGGAGCAGAAGGCAGGCGTCACCAATCACCAGTCTGTTCCTCCCCGCCCACCACACCTGGCTGAGCCTGGGTGCCTAGGGCATTGCCTAGTGCCATGGTGAGAGTTCACATGGCCTGACACAGGCGCTGGAGGGCAAGGAACGAATCTGGGGGTGGGGCCGCTATGCATGGTCTCCAGACCTGGCCAAGCGTGGGCTCCTGGTCACCTAGGCCCACAATGAGGATGCAGTCTGCCTGGCGCAGGCAACGCACGGTCCAGGGTGTCAGTGACGAGTCTGTCTGGTAGAGCACTATGCGGTGGGTATCCTCCTGCTGGGCCAGCCACCCTGACAGCCGGAACTCTTGGATGCTGGGGTTGGGGTGGGGGTGAGGGAGTGTCATCCTGGGGCTGGTTGCACACCCCAAAACCATTATAGCTCCACTGCTGGGGGGAGGAGATCTCAGACACCCAGGCTCCCACAACACAGGCCCTCCAGAGGCAGATTCACCCATTGACTGGATGGGTGGGAGCATGTTCCTTGGTTCATGGCCTAGAAACGGAACCAGATCTGAAAGAATCCTAGGCTTCAAGCTCATCCCTCGAGCCCCCCTACTCCCCTGCACCCCAACACACACCTGTCCAAGGCAGAGGCCCCCAGGCGTGCCCGGATGATTTCACTGTTGAGGAGGAGTGTGGGGCCTGAGGGTAGGCGAGGAAGCAGGGTTAGAAACCCAGGTCAACAGAGCTGGGGGCCTCTCCCAGGAAAGAATACCCCCACCCCACTCCCATGGCCCTGTCTCACTCCACCCCACGTGGATCCGCTGGGCATCTCCACTCACTAGCCAATGCCCCACCCACACACGCTTTACCCCAGAGACCAGTGGCTGGCTCTCACCCACGCCCCTTCCCCTGACTGACCGATGGCTCGCAAAGCATGTTGCAGCTCCAGCATGAAGGCCACCATGGGAACCTCGGCGCACACGGGAAGGACAGCCACTGTTGCCAGGTTGCTGGCTGGGTTGGTGAGCTCCGAGTGAGGGGGTACACCTAGCCCCGAGCCTGCTGAGACCACAAGGGACATGATCTGCTGTGCAGCCCTGTGTCTGGAGAGGGAGAACTCCTCCTCCTTCTCAGAGATCCTGGCCTCTTGTCCCTCAGCTGAGGCCTAGTGGAGAGCCACTGCGAAGGTCATGGCCTCAGTCCTGGTCCCACAGCCTCATTGTCCCCTCTCTTGATAAGACCTGAGCATCCGACTTTCAATTTTGGCCCTAATGTCCTCAATGGCGTCAATTAAACAACTCTATATCCATTCTGCTTCCCCACTGTACCTGTGTAAACCTATCGGTGTCCCGCCCCATTCTGGCTTGGGTGCCTCTGTCCACTGAAGGGACTTAAACACAAAACTGGGCAGAAACGAATACATTTTTGACCCATCTGTTGTTTCCCAGCTTCTCTGCTAACACCCTAGACCCCCATTAACCTCCATCTCTCGCATGAATCTGTCTCGTCTCCTCCAGCTGCTTCCTGTAACAGTCTGAATTGGCTCAAATGCCTTTCCTGGCCCCTTGCCCCTGGCCTCGTTTCTCTCCATCACTCACTTTCCTCTTCAAAGTGTTTCGAAACCACCAAACCCTGAGCATAGAGCCTTGGCAGTTCTCTTCAATATCCAGCACCACCTGGCTTATCAAGTGTCAGCTCCCTGTCCTCTGAAAAGCCTCCCTCCTCTCCACTAGCTCCCCTCCATCAAGACAAGACCCTCTTTTGTTTTCTTCATAGTATTTACCTGACTTCTTGCCAGCCAGGCTGTAAGGGCCCCCCCTACCCCCCAGGGATCTTGTTTGCCTTGCGCACTCTCCTACCCTGTGCCCCACGTAAATGCCTAGGACATACAAGGTGCACGCTGGAAAATTCCTTTTCTGTAGAGCATCAAAAGAAAGGCTCTCGAGAGTCCAAGATACTAATGTCCCTGACCCTATGGATGCCCAAGCATCATGTCAAGGGTGGCCAGGGTAATGTAGGGAGGAGGCAAGAGAAATAAAAACATTAGGCCACAATCAGAGACTGCAATATGCTTATCAGCCCTCGGCCAAGCCGGGAGGACACCTGCAGAACAAAGGAAGATTTCTGCTGAGATTGCTAACAACCCATTCCCCACAACTGTGAAGGGGAATCAGGAACCAAGAGTCATTCCCTGAAGCTAACACCATGGGGAACCTATGCATTAAAGGCTGAGAACTGTCAGTAGGCCTTTCACTCTATATATTCTTAACTTTTCACACTACATACCCTTCCCCTTCCTCACTGTATGTCCATACCAAAGGAAATGGGAGCTAAAGAATGACATATAAACTGAATTCCCTGAATACTCGAGGTCTCTCTCAGTGCCTTTACTCTTTCTCACTGTCCTCGTCTCTATTTGTCACTGTCCCTCTCAGTGCCTTTCCTCTGTCTCTCACACTGTCCCTCTCACTCTCTGCCTCTGAGAGGAGACCACACTCTGTGCAGTGTTACCTCTTTTCATTTTGACTCCAACTTTGGCACATGTGCTGAATTTTCTACACCCTCTGCCAAAAGACCCTCTTCTTCTGTCAGTACAGGGCTTGGTCTCCTCCCACCAACTTGGGGAAATTCAACCTGTCTGGCATCGAGGGTAGCCGGAAGGGAATGAATAGGACCTTTGTATACATGACACAAAACTGTGGGGGAAAAAAATCTGTCAGGGAAAGACGCTGGGCATGGGGTGGTTCTTGGCCATTGTTCACCACTGGCACCACTTGGGAGAGCCAGGCATCAGGGATGATGGGACAGAAGCCTCTGGAGAAAAGGGGACTTGGGAGTTGCCAACGCAGGCCCGCGTTTCGGCATTCTTCGAATCCGACTCCATTTCCTGGTGCCGCCTAGCCCATGGAAACTACACCTCCCAGCATGCGCCAGAACAGAAAAACAACCACACTTCCCAGCATGCGCTGGCAAAAGGAACCACACCTCTACAGCATGCCGGCAACTTCGAAAACCATTCCCAATATGCCCTGGGCCCCAAACACCACTCCAAGAACTACACTTCCCAGCATACACTGGACACCATCTCTGAGCAAATCCTGATGCCCAGAACAAAGCTCACTCCTAAAGACTCCGACCCTCAACACAACTGATACTTTAGATGCCGTAAACATGCTTTGGGTCTAACACTGCGTTTCCCAGCATGCCCAGGAACATGCACTCCATCATACAGCACGCCCAAAAATTCGGATCCCACTTCCGGCTTTAAATCCCGCTCACAGCTGGACTCCGTTTCCCAGCACTCCCTAGGTTTAGGGCTCCCACTCCCAGCTGTCCTAAACATCGAACCACATCCCCAGCATTCCCGGAAGGCCGGCTGGCTCTCACCTGGGAAGGGTCCTTGAAGCTGCTGCAAATTCCCCAGAATTTTCTGGCTCAGCAAGTGGATGAGGCGGGTCACAACCTGGGGTGTTGGAGGTCGGCAGTCCAGTGAGGCTTGAGAGGAAGCTGTACGAGCCCCATCTTTCCCTCCCCGTTACCTGTGCCCCACCTTCAAGAGCCCCGCCTTCACTTTGAACCCTCCCTAGGGTCCCACCTCCAAACGTTAGGCCCTGCCCTCTCTGGGGCATCGCCCCCATTAGAACTCAGCCCACAACCCATGGAGCCGCACCTGAGGGTATCGTCTTTTGATGTGGCCCAGAGTGCCCTCGGGGAGTTTGGCCAGCTCCGTGTCACGCACCGCGTGCACCGTGGTGGCCCGCGGCTGTCGTGTCAGTGCCTCCACCTGGGGGACCGCGTGCATGACCAAGGATGCTTGGGCCCGGAGGTCCGGATGGGTAAGGGGGAGCCAACCATCGGCGCACCGAGTGGGCGGTACTGCTCTATCCCCCGAGAAGGGGGTAGAGAGAACCAAGCCTCGCTACCCATTAGAGCTCCGGGGAGAGGGAGAGCGCAGGGATCCACCCAGGCGGGGTTCCCTCTTCTGACTGAGAGAGATGTGAGGAGGGCGTCAATTCAGAGGTTACAGGTCCGGGACCCGTTCACCACCCCATCAGATTACCCAGGATGATGTGTACGTTGGGGCCAGGAAGAAAAACTGGACTAATGTCAGAGGTCAGTGGGTGCGGCCGCGCTCACCACCCCGATGAGATCCCCGCGGCCGTACTCGCCCACCAGCTCCTTCTTTCCGCTGCCGCGCTGGATGACGCTGCGCAGCCGCCCATTGAGCACGATGTAGGTGCAGTCGGAGCGGTCGCCCTGTCTGAGGTGGGGGATGAGTCACACAGGGTCAGGCCAGGACGTAGGCAGGGCCTGAGCAGCGAGGTGGGGGTGGGAGCTGCACCTGTACAGTGCGCGTCCCGCCTCCACCGCCGTCCAGTCAATTGCAAAGTCCATCTGGCGCACGAATGGTGACATCCTCGCAGCCACCGTGTGCGCGGCACTCAACACCACACTGGGTTGTGCACGCATGATCCTGTAGACAAAGGGTGGGGCGTATGGGCTGTGGTACCCTGAACTGCCCTTAGGGACTGGGCAGGGCGGGTTATAGCTCGGAGGTGGGATGGAAGGGCTCAAAGCTGACCTGTTAAGGTGTAAGCCTTCGAGGGATGGCCTCTCCCATGCCAGAATGGGAGCTGGGTCGGGGCCCTCGAAATGCCACTCCCACCCCAACTTCGGGCCCAGTCATACTCGTAGAAGTCGGACTTGGAGATCCGCAGGAAGGTGCAGTCCCGCTGGGCTCGCAGCGTGAAGATGAGTGGCTCCCCAGTGAGCACCGCCAGCTGCCCCACCAGCTCCCCTGGCTGTGCCACAAACAGGCACACGTCCTCAGCCTTGTCGATCATGCGCTGGTAGACATGCAGGCAGCCCCAGAGCACGAAGTGCAGGCTCACGTCCTGTGAGGGGGCAGGGGCCAGGAGATGGGCACAGGGGTAGGCTCCCACTCCCAACTCAGGTCAATGGACTCCATAGGAAACACTGAAAGATGGAGTGAAGGCTTCGCAAAGCTTGGCTGAGCAACATATATATCTCCATATTATTCAGTACTTAGGGCAGACATTGCTAATGATCACCAAACTATGAGCCCAGATTAAAGCCCAGGAATTCTTTTCATCAGCCAGCAAGAGGCTGTGAGGACTGGCTATGCAGGGGCATGGCAAAGCTCAAATGCTCTTTGCTCATGCTAGGCAACTGGATAGCCACATGGAAGAATAAAATTGGACCCTCACCTGACACCATATCAAGGTGCATCAAAGATATGAACGTAAAAGCTAAAATTAAAAAACTATTCAAAGAAAATATAGGGGTCCATCTTCTTCAGCTTGAATTTGGCAATAGATTCTTGGATATGACACCAAAAGCACAAGCTACATAATAAAAATAGGTAAATTGGATTTTATCAAAATCAAAAACTTTTGAGCTTCAAAGGATACAAGAAAGTGAAAACCCACAACATAGGAGAAAATACTCGCAAAGCATATTTGCTAAGGGTTTTGAATCCAGAATTTAGACAGAAAATCTTACAACTCAATAATAAAAAAAGGCAAATAACCCAATTTAAAAATGGGCAAAGGATCCAAATAGACTTCTCCAAAGAAGACATACAAAAGAGCTTAATAAGCACATGAAAAGATGCTCAAAATCACGAATCATTAGGGAAATGCAAATCAAAACCATAATGAGATACCATTTCATACTCATTAGGAGGGCTGGGATCAAAAGTTGTTAGAGAGGATGTGGAGAAATTGGAACCCTCATACGCTGCTGGTAGGTATGTAAAATGGTGCAGCTGCTTTGGAAAACGGTATTCAAAGAGTTAAAAGTAGAGTTGCCACATGACACAGGAATTCAACTCCTAGGTATATATATACCCAACAGAAATAAAAACACATGTCCACACAGAAATCTGTACATAAATGTTCATAGCAGCATTATGCATAATATATAGCCAAAAAGTGGAAACAACCCAAATGCCCATCAACGGATAAGGGAAATGCTGAATATCCACACAATGAAGTAAGTGTTACTCAGCCATGATGCTACCATGTAGATGAACCTTGAAAACATGATGCTCAGTGAGAAAAGGCACACACAAAAGGACACATGTGATCCCATTTATATGAAATGTCCCAAACAGGCAAATCTATAGATATAGAAACAGCAGATTAGTAGTTGCTTCAAGCTGGGGGTGAGGGGTGGAGACTGATAGCTAAAGGGTATGGGGTTTCTTTCCAAGGTGATGAAATGTTCTACAATTGACAGTGCTGATGGTTACACAACTCTGGAGGTACTGAAAACCACTGTACTCTTTAAGTGGGTGGATTGCATAGTATGTGAATTACACTTTGATAAAACTATCAACATAAAATCCCCTTTGCTCCTGGTTCCCTTGTTCCACTCCATCCCTGTTGAATGGTTTCCTAGAGATCAACGCATTTCTTCCCACCACAGGATATTGGCACAAGCTGTTCCCTCTGCCTAGAATGCTCTTTGCTCCCCCTTGCACCTAGTTACTTCTCCCCACCCTTCCTCTTTAGCTGGAGGTCACTTCCTCATAGATGCTGCCCTGTCTAAGCCAGATTTGGTAGTGACAACAGCTCCTCATGTCTACGCACTAAGCACATACGATTTTACAATACGTGTAATCCTTTGAGTGTAATGTCTATCAGAACTGTAGGCTTCCCAAGGCCAGGAATCTGGTATTTCCTGCTTCTGCAGCAGGCAGCACAGAGCCTGGGACATCTGTCCAACAGGGCTTGGGACACACCATACACACTGTACGAACAGGTACCCCTTTCCTCTCTGGTTAGCCTAACCAGCCAGACACCCTTTTATAAATAAGGAACTGAAACTGTCCAGATATGTTAAATTCCTTCCTTACCCACCACATGAACCTGTCTGGCACCTCACAAAGCCCCAGAGAGCTCCAAAATACTGCAGAGACTCCTGGGAGGGCACGGCCCCAGGAAATATACCCACATGCTGGAACCTTCTAAGAAAGAATTCCCAGACTGTGTTTGGGATATGAATGGGAGTTACTAATATTAGGCTGCCAGTTGCCATCAGATTGGGATATAAAAAAAATTTCCTTACTGCAGGACTTGTCAGAGCCCTGAATATGCTAATGATGCTCACTGGGAGCTTCCACAAAGGAATAAAACAACTAGCATTTCCCAAACCTATTTGACCACAGACTCCTGATTTGTGATACAGGCATCCCATGAAACACACTCTGGGAAATATCTGTGTGAAGCAGGATCTCTCCACTTTGGCACTACTACCATTTCAGACTGGATAATTCTGTTGTGGCAGACTGCCCTGTGCATTCTGCCATCCCTGGTCTCTACCCATCAGATGCCAGTAGCACCCTCCCAAATCAATCAAAAATGTCTCCACATTGCCAAATGTCCCCTGGGGGGCAAAACTGTCCCCAGTAGAAAACTATCAGTGTAAAGTTTCAGAGAGAAGCGCAGCATAGTAACGTCCATACCAAAGTTACGAAGACCCCAAGAAGCCTCCAGTGGCTGAAAGCCAGCGTGGTCCATTAGCAGCCAGGGCTGGGTTGAGCCCAACAGAGTGTCCCTGATAAGCAGGGCCTAGGGACCCCCGCAAGAGGTGTGGTGCAGCCACACTTCCTCAGCCACTCCCCAAGAACTATGAACAGCTGGCCAAAGCCTCACCCAACTTCCTCTGCAGAAAGGAGCACACTCCTGCAATAAGCAGCTCGAGGGGGACACCTGCATTAGCTAATCGAAAAATATGATACCCCAGCCAGCTAACAGGCGGGGCACTCCTCACTCTGCCCCTCGAACAGTGCTGTGGTCTCAGTGCTTATGTCATGTTTCTCCTGGGTCACCCCTGAGCTGCTGCTCCACCTTCTCTCCGAGGCCTGTCACCCTTGCAAACCTTAAGCAATTCAGCACTATTTCCTCTTTCATTCCGGTGGGTAGTTATTATTACTCTCATTCCACAGATGAGGAAGCAGAGAACTTTCTAGATGACCTGCCCAAGGTCACAAAGGGTGTCTGGGCAGAGTCTGGATTTCGACTCTGGCTCTCTCCCTCCAGAACCTTCCTCTTCATTGCTTCCTGACTGTAAGAGCATGGCCAGGTCTCAGTTTCCCCATCTGGAGAATACAGGGATTCTTGGGGTGGGGTCTCCTACACCTCCTGGTGCAGGCACTGCGGTCCAGCTGCGGGGGCTGGCTCCTGGCCCCCGGGGCCATGTTCTGATTTGTACATATTTATCAGTGCCCATCCCAGCAGGAGCCCAGGATTAGAAGTCAGACAGGACATTAGCGTATGCTGCAGACTCAAAAGAGGCTGCAGGAAAGGCCAGGGCAGGTAAGAGACCCAGGGGTTAGGGTCCTAGAGAAAGGGGTTCAGGGGTTGGAAGTGAAAGGTCAATTGGTCTGGAGGACAGGTATGTGGGCTGAGGGTCAGTCATAGGATCTGAGGGTCAGGGGTTGGAAATCATAAACTAAGAGTTCTACATGTGGAGTCAAAAGGCAAGGATCAGAGGTCAGAGAGGTCTTGGGTCATGGTTGCATGGGTGGAGGTCATGGGTCAGCTTTACCTGGTCCCCCTGGCGGGCGATGATGGTGCCAGCTTTGGCATGATGTAGCAAGACTCGGCTGTTCAGGAGGGAGGGGTCCTGGGGGGGGAGGGAGTTGAGACTGGACCAGCCTGGCCTCCCCGCCCTCCACCACATCGCTTAGCCCCTGGGCCGTGGCTGCTCACTTCGATCCGCATCAGCTTGGCCAGCTCCCGCTTTGCTGCCTCAAAGATGCTGCTGGTCTGGCGGCCTTGGTAGGGCCCAAAGAGGCAGCCGCCGGTGGCTGACTCGTCCTCGCAGTAGCTGTACTCACAGGCACCTGCTGGCTGCTCCCGGGCCTCCTGAGTGGGTGTCTGTATTGACAGAGCCTGTGACCTCCCTACTCCCACCTGATTTTCCTCCTCAGGAGACCCCACCAAGGGAAGGGCAGAGAGGGCAGGGACTTACCCGAACAGGGGCTGCCTGGGGTCCCCCTGAGGCCTCTTCTTGCAGAGACACAGAGATCCGGCCCCGTTCGTATGCCATGTCGAAGTCTGAGCGGGGGCCACCCTGTAAGCCTGAGGTGCACAGAGGGCAATAAAAGCAACAAAGATGAGCATGACAACAGCTCCGGTCTAAGCAATTACCACCTACCTATGTGACAAATGTGACATCTGTGTAAACATGACTAACGAATGACTACACTCTCCCTTGGAATCCTCATCACAACTAAGGGCACCATTTCAATGAGCACCCACAAAAAAAATCAGGAGAAACTGCTGCCAATGTTCCCCTTTCACAGATAAGAAAAATCAGGATTGGCCAGCCTGCCTTCCAACTCAGCAGCTCAATGGCCTCCCCTGCCCCCCAGGGCCCCAAACCTGAGATGTCCCCGGGCATGGAGAGGCAGCGGCTCAGCAGGGGCGCCGAGGGGGCTTCCAGGGATGTGGGCTTCACCGGGTCCCCTGGGGAAGACACATGTTCAGGCTCCTAGTTAGAGGGCAGGAAGCTGAGCAGGGGCTACGGAGGAATCAAATCAGAGTCCCTGGGGACTAGGAGACTAGGAAAAGTAATTCTAATGGGTCCATGAGGCTGGGAAGAGGGGGCCCTGGGGGACCAGACAAAGAGTTGTACCTGGGTACCCACTAAGGGACCCCTGGGAGCTGGGGAGGGTCGGGCTTGAATTTCTGAAGAACTGAGAAGAGACGGGGAGCAGAGCGCCCATGGGCTTCCCAGCACACTGGGCTGGGCCAGCCTTGGGTCCCTGAGGCCCAGGCATGGGTCATCTCAGTACCTGCGGGTCCAGGCAGAGGGGCCCCAGTGGGGTCAGGCGGCCGGCCAGGGGCCTCCCTGGGCTCCTCGGTTGCCGAGGTGCTGACCACACGCTTGGAGCCTCGCACGGGGCTGGTGCGGGCTGGGAGGCCTGGGCTGGGGAAGAGGCGCAGGGGCTGGATCTCCTGGGGGCAGAGAGCACGCTTGTGGCATGTCCTAGGAGGTATGTGCCACCCCACCCTTCCAGCCTCCCATACTCTCCATGAAACTCACATGGCTGAAGAGCTCATTGGTCAGACCCAGGTAGTTGTGAAGTGCCAGGAAGGTGACCCGCTGCAACCTCACCATGATGATCTGCGGGCAGGGCCAGAGGAGGGGTGGGGCCAGGGAGCAAGGGGTGAGTGGAGGGGTGATGTGAGAAATGGGGCCCAAATATTAAGGGGGGGGCATGAATAGGGAGAAAGAGGTGGGGTGGAACCAAGGCCCAGGCAGGGAGCGCTAAGGGGTGAGCGGGGCCGGAGAGGTGCCTGGGAGAAACCCTTAATGAAGTGGCAAAAGCCTGGGCAGAAGGGACCAGGCAGCTAATGGGAGGAGTCAGGGGCGGCTGGGGGAGGTCTGGCTGCTCAGGGCCCATAAGCACAGCGTGAGCACCTAATGGGTCCCAGCCCACAGGTGCCTGTGATGGGTGGGGGTCTGTAGAGGGGACAGAAGGCCTACTGACCTGTACCACCCGCACCAGGCTCTCAGGGTACTTGGTGAAAACAGCTGAGAAGGCCTCCACTGGCAGCCGCAGCACCGTGGAGTCTCGGGCTGCCCGGGCGGACACAGTACGCTGGGGGTGCTGGTGGCCCTGGGGGTATGAGGGGATGAAGAGAATCAAGGTCAGGGGCTGTAAGCCCCTTCTCTGCTCTCCAGCCCTTCCTGACACTAGTGTCTTGAGGGAACGCCGGCAGCATCAGGGACATATCAGAGATTGGGGTCCCCTCTCCAGTCCAGTCCACTGGATGTGGCCTTTTACCTCAGCCTCCTCGCCCAAACTGGTCACTCACAGTGATGACATCCAGGATGCTCAGAAGGCTATTGACACTGTCCCCAGGGACCACTTCCTTCACCACACACTCCTTTCCATCCTGTAACATGGGGTGGGGGTATGGGGGGTCAGTGACCAGGGCTCCCCTCTCCCTGCCAACCAGCCTTCCACTCCTGGCCCTCACACTCCCCACCCCAGTGACCACTGACCCCACAGACTACCCTAGACGCCTTTGGGCATGTTTCCGACTCCTGTCTGCACATCTCAAAAAACCACCAACCCTACAGACCAGTGGAGAGCAATGCCGGTCTCCACTGACCGCTTCACCATTGCCCATCTCCCTGCGGTGCCCCCGCAGGTGGCCCACTCACAGGCCCTGGCAGGCAGAGCTCCAGTAGCCCGTCTTGCACCACGTAGATGCTGGCATCTGGCTGGCCTGGCCGGAAGACGTAATCACCCTGGCTGAGCCGCTGGAAGATCATGTGCCGGCAGAGTTCCAGAAAGAGTGGCTTCTCGAAGTGGCCCAGCACTCTTTTGGATGGAGGAGGAGGAATGCAGGTCAGATGAGGCCCCAGCTCTGCGGCAACCCCATCTGTACCCCGACACTGACCGGACATTCTTGAGCATGTAGAGCACCTCGGAGGGCAGGTGGGAGTTGGCCAGGTCACCCTCCGTCAGGTCCGCCTCGAGCACCGCAGGTGGGGGCTCCTTCCGCTGCAGTGTTGGCGTCTCCTTCTGGATGCGCAGGATCCTGGTGGGAAGGGGGAGGGGCAGGGAGAGGATTCAGAGTCACATAGAACAGGGGTCAGCAGACTCTGGCCTGCTGACCAAATCGGGCCCGCCACTTCTTTTTGTAAATAAAGTCTTTCTGGCACCCGAGCACTTTCTTTCATGTATGGATTGTCTGAGGCTGTCTGCATGCTACAGCAGCAGAGTTGAGTAGTTACAGCAGAGTTGTATGTGGCCTGCACAGCCTAAGATGTTTACTATCTGGTCCTATACAGAAAAAATTTGCTGAACCCTGATGTAAAATCCTGAGATTGCCCCTCCACTAGTCATAGGCCCCTGAGATGAACCCTCCAGTTACAACGCTGACATAGCTTCCACGACGGGCAGAAAAAGCATCTCTGTTCATCATGGGACCTTTGACACAGTCCTTCCAGTAATCACAGACAAGATTCATGGATAGCTTCTCTAAATGTAGGCAGACCCCGGGGGAGCTTCTGTTACATGTGGAGACCTCAGATACAGCCTCTCTGTTCTTTATAAGGTTTCTGAGATAGTACTTTCTCTCAGGTCAGAGAGAACCCAAAGACAGTCCTTTCGATGGTCATACAGACTCGTGAAATAGCCCCCACTACATGTGGAGAATCCGGATATAGCCTCTCCCCTATTCATGGACCTGGGAGAACCCTTCTCCAAAAGTCACAATTCCTACTGAGAAAGCCCCTGCACTGGTCACAAGATGCTCAAGATAAATCCTCTAATATGAGCAGTCCCCTCAGTTAAACTCCATGATATAGAGAAATCCAGATATAGCGCCTTTTCTGATCACGGAGGTCCTTGGGCTTGCCTTTCCCCACGTCGCTGATTGCTGAGATTGCCCTCTGACAGTCATAACGTCAGGATGGATCCTCAAGGTGTGGAGACACTGAGATGTAGAGAGACACGAGATATAGCCCCTCAACTGATCATGGAGAACTAGGGATAGCCCTTCTTTTCAAGTCACAGAAAGCTGTTTGATCGAATCTCTGTTTATCATTTACAGCCCTGGGATATCCCAATGTGAAAACACCCTTCAGACAGACTTCACGGTGTCTTATGAACTAGACCCCATGATGCCAAGAGAAAAGCCAGATTCTAACTTAGAAAAAGATCCCACCCAGGGACAGCCTTTCTTGAAGATGTGAGGGAGTCTTTTGCTGTTGACAGGCACCCCTGAGATGTCCTTCCTACGTTTCTAGTGCAAGAAGATTTTTGAGACAACTCCTAGGGTACAGAAATCCCTGACAAAGCCTCCTCAGTGTGGGAACAATTCCAAGGTAAGTGACATAGAGAGAGATTTTCTAATGTAGACAGACTGCTGAAATAACCCCTGGAGAAGAGAAACTAGAGCTTACCCTTCTAGCCAGCCACAGAAACACCTGAGCTACCCCAATGAAATACCTCTTTTGTAGGGAGACCCATAAAATGGCGTACATGGAAACCTCAGATTTAGATCCTTAAACGTATAACACAGTGTCTCAGAAACTGACTGAGAAGCAAATATTTATAGGTACCCCAAGGAGGGCTGTCACTGGTAGAGGAGTATCGCTGAGCTAGTCCTTAGAAACTCCAGAGACAGCTTGTCTGGTGTAGGGTTGCTCTGAGATGGCCCCTGTGATGTGGGAAGGCTCACAAAACTGTGAGATACACCCTTCAGTGTGGGCTGATCACTCAAAAGGCCCCTGAGATAGCCCCCAATGCCAGGTACATCCAGCACAGCCTTACTTCTTGGCAATGTTGAGCATCTTGAGTTTCTTCTTCATTCGTGGCCGGGAGGTGGTGGAGACAGAGGCATCCACCAGAGAGGAAGTTGATTGTGAAACCTAAGAGAATTAAGGGGGAGAATAGGTCAACTGCCAGTTAAGACCCTAGGGGGGCGGGGAGGTCAGATCCTTGGTCCTTAATCAAGGGGAAGGGGTTTATTAAAAGGTGTAACTAGATAAAGGGCAGAGCCTCTGTGTAGTCAACAGGAGCCCCAGAGACTCCTAGACTCACCTTCCTCATAATCTTCCGGCCATAGAAAAGCACTTTGTCTCTCTTCCGGAATCGATACCGGGGGCCATCGGGTGTTGGGGTTTCTGGGGATAAGGGGAGAGGAACACTGAGCTCTGTGCAGATTCCACGAGGCCAACGATGAGGACACTGCGTGCAGACTCCAGCAAATCCCATCTCTACTGCCTCAAGGACCAAGTTCGGCTCCCCACCCCTCCACAGGGGTCCTTAGGATCCTCACTAGGAACTCGAAGCCTCCGCACCAGCAGGAGGATGAGCACGGCTGTGACCAGCACCGCGACTCCGGCCCCGATCATCACGCCCAGCACCTGCGGGACGAACGGCACTGGCTGCGCACTGCATACTCGCCCCGCCGAACCCTCCCCAGGGGCCAGGACGTCCCCGGTTTCATCCCATTCTGCGACGTCCGTCCCCGAGACGGTCGCAGTCGCCGCTGGGCTGGGTGTCCCCATCTGTAGAACGGCCAAGTGCGGTTCCTTCCCAGGAAGTGCAACCCTTCACTGCAGCTCGGCGGCCCGCGGTGCACGCCGGGAAACGTAGTTCGCTCTGAATAGACGCAGTCGGGTTCTCGCGGGACTACGATGGTGCGAGCAGAGCACGTCGGGAATTGTAGTCCTTGCGGCGCCACTCAACCCTCAACCCTCAACCCTCAACCCTCAACCCTTACCATTCCTGTTTGCAGCGGGGCCTCCATTAGCTGCTTCGGGCTGGACTGCAGGTCTCGTACCCCGGAGTCCTGGGAATCAAGAAGCAGGAGGAACCCGAGCAAGTCGTCACTCTGGGCCCGCCCCTCCCCTGCCACAAGCCCTGCCCACTTCGTGCTCGCAGCCCGAGCCGGGGACCAGCTAGAGGGACGCTGCGGAGCAGAGGAGTAGGGCAAACTGACCTCTGGGTCCGGGAGTGAGCTGGGGCGCCGGCTCCCCGCCGGGCTTCCTTCACCCACGCTCCAGGCCGAGCAGACGCTCTACCCGTGCAAACCCCACCCTAGGGCCAAAGGGTAGTCTGCCGGGCACTCAGCGAGCAGCCAGCGCACGGGTTCCCCTAGGGCACGGCTCCCTCACACAGGCAGCCTCCTTCCCGGCCTCTGATCCCAGCGGAACTGATCAGTCCTCACCGACCCCTAGGTCGCACCCTTGTACTCCCCATAAAAACTGGATGCCCTATCCCGGGAAAACTGAAGACATAGCCAGTGGGTCGGGGAGATGCCTGGCTCCTGGATCAAGCCTGCCCCCAGAAAGACCCGGGGGCTAAGGGGCGTGGGAGTGCTGCCGGGACCTCCCGCACAAGAAGTCCTAGGGGATTCCAAGGTCTCAGAGAGGTCCTGGGACGCTCCGAGTGGGATGGGTTCGCAAGGTGTTATTGGTTGATACTGGAGATTTAATGTCACGTAATAGTAAAGTTATGGGGTTTCTGATGGTGCGGAGCATCACTAGGACTCCAGTAATGATGCTGGCGCCATTGCTGGGCGACGTAACCGAGGACGCTGGACTTACTGGAGCACTGGAAAGTTACCAAGGGATCCTCAGGAATACAGGACTATTACTGGGAAAACCGGGAGCTGGGTGGGCACGTATGTGGGGTCGTTGGAGCATGAGAGTGGGCCTAGGGACGACGTCCGGGCTCCTTGGAAGATACCGAGGAACTCTGATATATTCCTGGGACTTCCCTGGGATAGAGGATGTTTTTGGCGCCGCTAAAGTATTAATGGAAATTTGGGGGAGTCACTGGGTTTTTGAGACATTACTTGGGAAATTCATGGGGGTCTAGTCCTCTTCCACCCCAGGGTGCACCTGGCTACCGGTGCGGAAACATCTGCAGGGAACTGGGGGGAAGGGAGCATCAGAGTCGGGGGCTACTGAGAATCAGCGGAGGACATCTTGCGAAAGCCGAAGGCTCGCTAACGACCCCCGAAGGGATGGCCCCTTCGGGGGCGACAGAGACCCGGACTCACCCAGAGGCTGCAGACAGGGTCCACTCAGCGCCAACACCGCTGGCGTTCCGCCCAGCGCCTCAGGTGTGGCCCCTTTAAATTATTCGCTGCAGGGCGCACGGAAGCCCCGCCCCCTACCCTGTTAGGAAGGTCGTGTGGAACCTACTGAATGTGGCAACGCCTTAAAGGGGCCAAAGACCATTTGGCTAAGGGAATGCCCCTCCCGCTAGAAGAGTAAGCGAGGTTTTTTTATTCCCCCCATTTATTGAACACCCATCCCACCCCAGTGTCCAACCCGACTGACCCAGGCCCTCACAGGGCGCTGTAGGGAGCCGGTCCTTCAAATCAAACCCTAAAAATAAATAAGAGCGGATCTCCACAGTCCCAGGTCCTGGGGCTAATGTCCAGTGGCTGTCCCGATCCGAGTCAATTCACCAGCAGCGAATGCTCCGAGGCGTCCCTGTTGGAGGGGCAGTGTCAGCTGGGGCCGAAGGTAGCTGTAGCAGAAGGCAGCCGTGACCTCTGGCAACTCCCCTTCCCTCAGCCCCCAATCCTAACCAAAACTCGAACCTGCCGCAACAGCAGAGGAGGCTGCAGGCTGAGCCACTCCCGCGGCGGAACTTGCCGGAGGTAGGGCTGTCCTTGCACTGCGCGATGTAGGCCTGGAGCTCGCTCATCTCCGCGCCTGCACCGCCCGGGTGCTGAGGAGAGATATGGGGTAAACCAGCCAAAAGGGGCCCCCTTGAGATCTGCCCTCGGCTCCACCTCTTCTCCAGCCATCTGGATCTCCTCGCTGCAAGCAGGCTCCTACCTCTGGGCCTTTGCACTTGCTGTGTCCACCACCTGTTGTTCCTTATGGTTTTCTTCCTGAAAGAACTTCTCTGATCCCTGAATATGTGCACAACCTGAATCTTGGTCAGTTGGTGTCACATCTACATCCCCAGTCATCTGAATAGTGTGGCTTTCAGCAAGAGACTGAAAGGCCCTCCCTACCTTGTGAAGGAGCCATCTCTTTCCAAAGTTCTTTCTCGCTAATAGGTCTTTGTTTTGGCTGTTTCTTCGCCCTGATGCTCCCTTCCTTGAGTTCCCATCTCTTCAACCTAGAACTTTCTGAGATGATAAAAATGTTTGATTCTGTGCTGTCCAATCTGGTAGCTACTAGCCAGCCACATTGTTTTCTGGGCCTTTAATATGTGAACGATGTGAGTGAGGAAATGAATTTGGATATGTATTTCATTTTCATTTAAATCAAAATGTAAACAGTCCCATGTGGTTAGGAACTAGTATTAGACAGCACATTCTAGAAGCCTTCATGGACTCACCCTAATACCAGTCTAAAGCAGAGGATCCCACAGTAACCTTCCACACTTCCTTCATATCTCTCACCAGTGGTTCACCACACTTCTGTCCATGCATCATCCTCTTGCCCATTGGGCTTGGACAGACTGTGTACACCTTTCCTCATTTCCTAGATGCCAGGTGCCCAGCACAGGGCTTGGCCCACGATAGGCCCTCAGACATGTTGGCTAAAAGAATCCTGTCTCCTTGCCACCTCCATGTTCTTCTCCGACTCCCTGCTCTCCTCAGATCTCCACAGCCTTGCAGGACCGCTACAGTTCCCCAGACCCAAACAGCCCCCACCAAGGCCACCCCACAGAACAGAAGGCTAAAGAGCAGGGCTTCAATATTCAGACAGTCCTGGGTTGAACCTGGCTTCATCACTTAGTAGCTGACTTCAGGCAAGTCAGTGAAACTTTATGGCCTGGTGTCCCTGTTGGTAAAAGCAGACGCAGGAATCCTACCTGCATAGAGCCCTGCCTTGATCAAACTGAGAATGAGGCAGCTGTGACCATGACGACATCAGGCCCACCTATGCTCCACAATTCCAAGCCACTCTCTCCTTTGGCTTTGCAGAGTCTCTCATTCCCCGAATCCTTCTCTCCTTGCACCCCTCCCCCGGCACATTCCCCAGGACCCTGCCATGGCCCACTCCAAGGGACCTGGAGCCCAAGTTAGAGCTGTGAGTGCGGTTGGTCGCGCGGTGGAGGGGTTGCGTGGCTAACCTTGATGGTGTCGTAGGCACCCGTGATGAGCGCGATGAAGAGGCTGAGCACCATGTAGATGAAAAGACTGATGAAGGAGTAGAGGTAGAGCTGGGAGAAGAGCCAGACGAGGCTGCTGTGGCCCTGCTGCGCCTGCATCGCTGCGAACGTCACGAACATGTCGTCCCCATTGATGAGCGAGAACAGGCACTCCGACACCATGGACAGTGAGCGGAACTGCGGCCGGGCAGCAAGGTCAGTGGGGTTGAGACAGAGGGAGCCGTGAGCATGGTTGGGGGCAGGATGGGGCACTAGGGGTCAGAGGGTACAGTGGACCAGTAGTCACAATGGGACCACCTTGGGGTCACTGTATGACAAGGTCAGTGCCAGGGTTACTGGGGGTCAGAGTGCAGAATATCATCAGTCACGATGGGGTCACTTGGGGGTCACTGTGTCAATGACGATGTCATAAGGTCAATGCTAGAACAGCGGGGACAGTGGGCAGAACTGCTGCAGACATGCTGGTTAAGTTACCAGGGGTCAAGCTGAGTCGTTCAGTGTGGCCAGGTCAATGAGAGATAAACCAGAGAGCTTAGGAAGTGGGCTCAGGGGAGGGGGCCCAGAGACCCCTCAACTGTGAGTCATGAGCACCCACCATCAGCTCTGGCCCCAGCCAGTCCCTACCTTCACGTGATAGGGCCCCAACACGATCCAGCCACAGAAGCAATAGCCTAGGTAGATGACAGCCACACAGCAGCAGAAGCGCATGACGCTGGGCAGGGCCACCCGCAGTGTGGCGATGAGGATCTGCGGTAGGGCAGATGGGGGCCCAATGACGGCATGGCCACAACCGGGGTCGGTGGTGCAAATGGGGTGGAGCAGTCAGGGCCTGTCCGAGGGCGTGGCTAGGGGAGCTTAGAATGAGCGGCATGGGGCTGAGGGGGCCCAAGGGCATGCCATGACTGGACTCAGCTAGGTGGCTATGAAGGGGCAGGCTTGCATGGCCCCTGCCCAAGTATAGTGACAGGTACATCTGGGGTGGGCAGGTACAGGGCTAAGAGACTTGTGACAGGCCATCTGCAGGGGCTGATGATTGCCACACGTGTATGAACTTAGCGGGGTAGGAATCAGGCAACATGTGGCCACCACCTGGAGGGAGGGCCCAGGCTGCGCACACAAGGCTCACGTTGTACTTATGGAAGAAGGTAAGATAGCGGATGACGCCGACCCAGACGAGCAGTGTCGAGGTGCCCAGGAGGATGCTGCAGACATCGTAGCTGGCCAGGTTCTAGGGGCGGGAGCAGTGTCAACTCCATCTAGCCGCCCATTCCAGGGGATGTTGCCCTGGGCAGGGTGTGGGCAGGACCCACCTTGGCTTCGATGCCAATCTTCATGATCGTTCCTGAGATGGTCAGCACGTCACTGGTGACCAGCAGGATGTACCAGCCGTTGACAAATTCCAGTCGCTCCCACAGGCTGATAACCCGTCCCCGCTGCCGCCACATAAACCGAACAAACTCCTGCAGGAGGCAGGTGGAGTGAGGCCCTCTCCAGGCATGGGAGCCTCGAGCCACCCCTGGCCTTTATGGCCCCAGACCTGGGCAAAGGCTGGATTGGGCACATGTCACATTGGGGTGGCTCTCACATTCTGTAGTAGGAAGCCACGGAGCAGGGAGCGGGCACACAGCAGGAAGGAGAAGGAGCAGGTGAGGATCACGAACACATCAAACAGGAGCCGGAAGCTGTTGTCTCCTGTGGGGGAGGGGGCCTTGGGTTGGGCCAGGGTGGCTCAAAGCCTTGTGAGGCCAAGCCTAGGGGGCTGTAGGGCAAGTTTTGGCTGGTCAGCAGGCTCATGGGCTACTCTGGGTGAGCCGGAAGCTCTGTCAGTGCTGGTCTGGGGCTTGGGAATCCCCAGGCGGGTCAGGGTCCCTGGTTAGCGCTGGTCTGGGGCTTGAGGGCTCACCGTGCCTGAAGACGCTGGGGTGCTTACACTCTTGGATGTGGGCTTGAGTCTCCAGGCTGATGGGGACACGCCCGCTGTGTGCCTTATTGTCAAATGTGATCTGCGGTGGGGTGCAGAGTAAGCCTTGGCAGGCCTAGGCTCCCAGACCCGCATGACAGGTGGTCTGTCTGGCCCCAGCTTCCCCATCACTCCCATGCTGCCCTTGGCCAAGGGTCCCCAGCCCTGGAGCTCAAGAACCCTGTGGCACCACCCCCTGCCCCTCATCACTGGTGGCTCCACACCCTCGGCCTGAACACCACGGGCTCACTAGGACACTGAAGGTGTAGCAGTCTGGGATCTCATTGTTGATCAGGCTCTGCAGGTTGATGGTCTTCAGCTGGAAGTGGATGGTGACGTTGATCAGCCTGAAGGGGAAGAGTCTAGTGAAGGGGAAGGGGCTCCGCAGCTCCCTCAGGCCCCAGAGTGCCCGCGCTCCTGCCCAACGCTGACTCTGCAGCTGGCAGTGGAAGTGCTCACTCAGCAGACATGAGCCCAGCCCACCCCTGCCCCCGCCTGTGGGGAAGTGGCTCCCGGGGGAGTCCCAAGGACACATGGCATCCTGCCTCCCCCACCCTCTGCCCAGCCCTGGGGTGGCCCCCTCCATCAGGCAGTACTTGTGGAATTTGAGCGTGAGGTTCTTGTAACTGGCGCTGCCATCCAACAGCGATAGATCATCACTAGGGGGCACAATGGGCCTCTCGGGGGGATCCACTTGGATGCAGTCTGAGGACAGGGAGTCAGAGAAGGGACACTTGGGATGGGGGAGGCACAGGCAGGTCTCCCCAGAGTCCCGGATGGCAGACTTCCCTGATTCACTTCCCACTTGGTACTTGAACATTTACTGTTTGTTCCCCGTGTCCACCCAGGGTAGGGCCTGGTCTGTCTGTTCCCTCTGCAGACCCTAGGGCCTAGCGCTCTGTGGGCCCCCGAGTGTTTAGTGAATTCATGATATTAAAACATAATGCCCAGTTCTTTCTGCACGGCAAGCATTCTTCTAAACATACTGCATACTTCAAATCCCTGATGCTCAGGACAGCCCATCTCCCAGATGAGTGAGGGGCAGAGCTGGGATTTTAATCCCAGCAGCAGGGAGGCCCCAAGAGCTCAGCCCCACTTTATCTACTCACCAGTGACAACCATTGGGTCGATGTCAAAGGTATCGTTGGCTGGGTCCACGTGGCCCCGGTGGTAGTACCGCTGGCAGAGGGCCAGGGCTGAGCCATTGGCCCAGGGACCACCCCCGCCCCGCACATATGCGTAGCGGCCCAGTGACACATCAGGGAGTATCAGGTACTGTGGGCAGAGAAGGGGAGGGTCCATCAGCCCCACCTGCACTCCCCTGATCTTCCCCCCTGCCAACCTGCTCCTGGCTGCTCGTACCTGGTCCACGGCGTAGAAGATAGCCTGGTAGAGCTGCTCCCGAGTATAGGCTGCGAAGGTGTCATCTGCCCCATCAGAGTAGCCCAGAAGGAAGAGGTGGCGGAAGGCGATGGTGTTCTCCTCCCGGAATGTCACTGCCAGCTGGTTGCTGAGCCCGAACAGGATGAGCTGGTGGGATGATGGGGACGGGGGGGGGGTCGATGTTGCTGGGATGGGGCTTCCCTCAGTGCATGAGTGGAGGAAGAGGAAAAAGAGCGCCCACTCCATGAGGGCATATGTCCCCATCTTCCGTGCCCACCGTTTGTTCCCAATGCCCAGCACACAGTGGGCACTTATATATCTCACAGCAGCAACTAACGTTCACTAAATGTGTATCAGATGCCAACTTCCGTGCTAAACGCAAACCTACAGGGTAAGAACCACTGCTGGGTCCTTTGACTAAGGGGAAATTAGAAGCATAGTTACATAGCCAAAGTCGCAGCACCAGACCAGAAGCTCCTCAGCAGGGGCTGGGTCTGATTCATCTTACGGTCTCCAAATCCTAGCATAGGGCCTGGCATGGGAAGGAGGTCAACTATCTGTTCAGCCACTGGGTTAGTTCTCTTTGTGAGTCAACATGGCATCAGACTGCCTGAGTTCAAGTGCCAGCAGCTCCTAACACTTGGTTGCTGCGTGACTTTGGACAAGTCCCTAAGCCTCTCTGAGCCTCTCAGCTGCCTCACCTGGGGGCAACAGAAGTTGCTGGGACCTCAGAGGGCATGTGTGAGGTTAAAAGGGGCTGCTCACATACAAAGCTCAGAGGGCTTCCTGATTGATTACTGCCATTTTCACTACTGTCATTATGCTGCTGCAGGGTCAGGACAAGGCTCCAACTCCCAGACTCTCCTTCTAGGAAAACAGCAGTCACAGGCGCTGTTCTTATGGGGCCCCCGAAGGTCTCACCTGCACAGTGACCACCAAGATCTTCACTACTTGCAGCATCAGCTTGAAGGGCTTGCGGCCCTTGGCCCGAAATTTGTCACAGGGACTCATGAAAAAGTACTTGAGACGGCGGCGGAGGTCTTCCTCTTCCAGAGGGGTTGGAGGCACTGGCAAAGTCCCCGCCTGGGTCCCATATCCGGGGCTGGGGGTCAGGAGGTGCTCAGTCTCTGGGGGAATGGGAGAGATCAGTGGGAACCAGGCCTGGGCAGGTCCACTGCCAACAGGGAAGGCAGGTCCCATGTTCCAGCTAAGAAAGAACTCTGGGAGATCTAAGAAATTCTGAAAATCTGCAACATTTTATGGATATACGCAGCAATGCTGCTCAGATTACAAATTTGGGTTTGGACTCAAAAGGGCCGGGACTGATTTCTGACCCTGATGCTCACCGGCTTGGGCAGGGCACTTGGTCTCTCTGAGCCTGTTTCTCATCTGCAAAATGGGACAATAGCATCTCTCATCAAGAAGCTGAGGATCTGATGCTTACAAAGTGTTTATCACAGGAGCTGGTACCTGGTAAGAATGTCAGGACATTCCATCATCGTTCCTGTTATGGATTTGTGGGGAGAGAATGAATTGTCTCCACTGGTTTTTCACAGTGCACTCAAGGCTCCTGGGCCCATCCCAACTCCAGCCTCCACACATGAACATGGAACTCAGCTACATTCTGGTATTTTCTGGACAAGCACCCAAAGAATAAACTTTCTACTCATCATGACCTGGCCTGTTAAGCTGACACTCTCACAAGCCACAGGCCTGGAGTAGGAGAGACTGACAGTGATGGTAATAATAAGAGAATGTATTTGCCGAAGACTCACTGTGCACCAGCAGATGTTATAGCACTGCCCATTTGGGAGTTTATGAGCTAATATGACATCTTCATTAAAGCTGCCAGCTCCTGGAAATCACACAGCCCTAGGACCAAATCCCGGACCTGCTGCTTCCAGGTTGGGGAACTCCAGGCACCTATCTAAGCCTCAGTCTCCTCCTGAAGAGTAGAGGGAGAAAAAAATCTTCCCCTGAGGCTGAAACTCTGAAAGTGCCTCAAGAATGAAGTGAGGCAAAGCGGTTCCGCCTGAGCCTCAGTAACTCTTCAGCAAACGAATACTGTCCTAAGCACTGCTTGTTCCCTTCAATCTTGACCAGCCTAAGAGGAAGGTCTAAGGTTTCAGCAACTGCTGGGGTCAGCGCTGGTTACAGCAGCCCAGAACTCTCCCTGACACACCCCCACTACCCCCACTGGGAGAACCCAGCTTCTTTCCAGGGCCTGGCTGGACTACTGCCTGGCACTGTCACTGAGATGACTGTGGACACTATTAGAACCTGTCCTGCAGGGAGGGCCAGCTCCTGGCTGGTCCCTTTGGGGCTTGGATGCTATTGTGGTTGTTTACAAGACCGCTGGACAGAAGCCAGAAGGCGGGCCTGCTTCCCTAGCTAGGATCATAGCTAACCCACCCCAGACTCTATCAGCTGTGACATCTTTCAGGTGTCTCCAGCCAGCTCAAGAAGTGAAGAAAAACACAAGGGGTCTTTCTCCAAGCTCCCCCATTAGAGACGGAGACTGAAGAAGCTGGAGCTGGATTGAGCGATCTGAAATTGAGTTAGGCATCTAGGCTCGAGGAGGCAATTCCCCGAGCCCTCTGCCTGAATTTAGAGAAGCTGAGCATTTGCCTTCTGGGAGTCTCACGTGCGAGTTGGAAAAGCTGGTGCCAGCTGAGTTCCAGCAATGCTGAGCAATCGGAATCTAGGCTCAGAACGGAACCTCGCAGCCCTGTGTCAAAGAAGCAGGCGGCCTGCCTGCTGTCTGAGTTTAGGAACTCCGAGCAGAGCCTGGGTCTAGGAAGGGCGGTCGGGAGTCTCACCACTCCGAAGTCGGATAAGCTGGTGCCCATCCGCCACCCAGGTTCTATGAGCCTTCTGCACAAATCTCCACTGCGGGAAAGCTGGGAGATCAACACCAGAGTTTGGGAAAGGGAAACTAGGAGCTCCTGCGCCCCAGGCCGGCGGAGCTGGCTGGCTGGCTGCCCGCCCTCCCGCAGCCCACGGGGGCGTCCGCACTCTCACCTGAGCCGCGCGAGCCCACGGGGGTTGCCATACCGGGGCGGGGAGGGCCGGACGCCAGCGGGCGCGGCGGAGCAGCCGGGGTCCCAGCGCCCGCCGCTGTCACTGCGGCCTCTCCGCCTCGCGGTGCCGCTTCAAACCCTCGCTTATCAGCTGACTTGAGCCCAGAGTCACGTGATCAGAGCGCCTTTGGAGACACGTGACCAGATCCTGTCCCGCCCCCTGCGCCACGACAACATCGGCCTAGCGGTGCGCAGGCGTACCTCGGCGGGCGACTTGCGGGAAGTCGCGAGATCCTAGCACCGACGGCAGACACGATTCTGGGGATGGGCTGGCTCTGAGCGTGCCAATGTAGGACTGTCGCCGTCCTGGCTCCGTCACGTCCGCGTCTAATGCCAACCTCTTGGCTTCCATGTATTTGACCCCTTACCTTCCGCAATATCTGGTGATGTCCCTGCATCCTATCTAAGGGCTGTTCCCCTCCATCCTACCAGAAATCCCAGGGTTAATCTCAACCCCTTCTGCTTCTGCCCCTCTCTTCTGTATGACCTATCAGCAAATCTTATTTCGTTTTCTAATTATATCCCAAAGAAGATCACTTATTCCCACTTTTATGGCTCTCAGCCCAGAGTCACCTGGACCACTGCAGTAACCTCCCGATATAGGCTCCCAGTCTTGACCCCCTCCATTCCACTCTTCACCCAGCAGCCAAGAACAGCTTCAGAAAACAATTCATATCAGTTCTCTGCCAGAACCTGCAGGTGGCTTCACATTTCTCTGGGACGACAAGCAAACTCCCCACCAGTCTACCAGGGCCCTCTGGTCTTCCCCTGCTTCCTCCCCAGATCATCTCTTAATGGCCCCAGTGCCTTTTCAGACTCTTGCCCTAGAGCGTAATGGTTAAGAACACAGGCTCCGGAGGGCAGACAGACAATCCAGATTTTTAAATCTAGGCACTGCCAACCGCCACTTCTCTGTCTTCCAAAGAGTCCGCGAAACTCCATGTGCCTCAGTTTCCTCATTTGCAAAATAAGGATGCTCAATCACAGTTCCCTGCTTTGTGGAACTATTGAAAGAATTAAATGATAAAATGCAAGAGCATAGCACAAGGCTAGGCAAATAATGCCGATGATTAAATTAGTGGTTATTGGGATTATATAGTCTTTCCTCAGGAAAGCTCTCCCAGACCTAAAACAGAAGTCCTGTATACTTCTAGAATGTACATTTACTTTTTAAATGTTTCCAAATTTGGTATCTGTAAGCTCTACCAGGCCTAAAGCCATGGTTATCTTGCTTCTGGCTGAGACCTGAGCAATCAACAGGTATCTGTTGAATGCATAAATGAGCAACCTCCCTTTGTCCAGTACCTATAATGTGTGCTTTGAAGGGCAAGGGGTAAGTTAGGGGAGCAGATGGGGCAGGACTGCCCACATGGTATCAGCCTCCATGATCAGCCCACTACTTTCAACACGCCACGAGTCCCACCATTTGGAAAAACCAAAGGGAAGGGATGCTGCTCAGACCGCCTGCAGGGTAAGTCTGCTCCTGACAAGGGTGACCAGGTCTGGAGGAACAGAGCGACTGCTGGGATGGACCAGTGCGAGGCCTTGTTGGGGAAGCTCAGAAGCCTGGAGGACGTCAAGGGGAAGCCAGGACATTTGGGGAGTATGGCTAGCTCAGGCCGGACCCTCCCATCTCCCAAAGGGCTGTGCATTAGGGGAAAAAGAGAAACAGGAGAACCATGAAACGGAGCCAGGAGGCAGTGGGAGGATTTTACTAACTGCACAACACACAACTTCCCCAGACCCTGTGGGTGCCAGCCTCCCCTTTAGCCATCGGGCCCCAGCAGTGCACCTCGCTCCTGCACCCACTCAGGACTCTCACCAAGAGGGAGAGCTGGGCTGTCATGAGTGGGAGAGCTAGGGTCAGGGTGGGTCTCAGGGTTGGGGTCGGGGCTGGGCACAGGATCTGGGTCTGGGCTGTGGACAGATCCCTGGTCAGGACTGGCCACAAGGTCAGGATTGGAATCGTGACCAGGCTTAGGGTCAGAAGCCTTGACAGGAACAGGGGTGGGGGTAGATCTGGCGCCAGGGCCAGCTTTGGGGCCAGGTTTGGGGAGGGAGCCCAGCATAGAGCCAGGGTCAGGGCCCAGGCCTGAGCTGGGGCCCAGGCCAGAGCCGAGCACAGAGACAGCATCAGGCCCGAGGAGGGAGACCTGCCCGGGCCTCAACATCGAAGCAGGGCTGAGCCCCAGGCCAGCAGCGGCGGCGGCAGCTGCAGCGGCTGCAGCGGCGGCACCCTCGTGCACCCGCTTGTGCTTGGTGAGGCTGGAGGCTTGGCCGAAGGCCTTGCCGCAGAGCTGGCAGCGGTAGGGGCGCTCTCCGGAATGCACGTGCAGGTGCTGCAGCAGCGCCGAGCTCTGCCCGAAGGCCTTGGAGCAGTGGGGACAGGCGTAGGGGCGCTCGCCTGTGTGGATGCGTAGGTGGTGCTGCAAGTTGGAGCTCTGGCCGAAGGCCTTGCCGCAGTGGGGACAGCGGTAGGGGCGCTCCGCTGTGTGCGTGCGCTGGTGCTGCAGCAGCGCTGAACTCTGCCCGAAGGCCTTGCCGCACTGCGGGCACGGGTAGGGCCGCTCCCCCGTGTGCGTGCGCAGGTGCTTCAGTAGCGCGGAGCCCTGCCCGAAGCCCTTGGCACACACCGGGCACTTGTGCGGTCGCGGGCCACCGTGCGTGCGCAGGTGCTGCGCCAGCAGCGAGCCGTGCCCGAAGGCCTTGCCGCACACCGGGCAGTGGTGCGGCTTCTCGCCGCTGTGGCTGCTGCGATGCTTCAGCAGTGTGGAGCGCCAGCCGAAGGCCTTGCCGCATGCCGCACATTGGTAGGGCCGCGCGCCCGTGTGGATGCCCCGATGTTGGGCAAGCGTGGCGCCGTGGCTGAACGACTTGCCACAGTCGGGACAGCGGTAGGGCTTCTCGCCACTGTGGGTGCGGCGGTGCTGACTCAGCCCTGAGCTGCGGCGGAAGGCTCGCCCGCAATCAGGACAGGAGAAGGGTCGGGGCGGGCTGGCAGGTGCGGGGAGCACCGCGGGGCTGGTGGTCAGACCCTCCGGGGTGGCAGTGAGGCTGGATGAGAGGGGGTCTAGGTCTGGGGCTTCTGGGGGGCTGAGGGTGTCGCTGTTAGGGTCGAGGACCAGAGGGACAGGGCCGATGACGTCTGGATCGAGATCAAAACTCGACGACATGGGATCGAGATCTTGGGGATCCGAGTCACGGTTCCCCGAAATGGAGCTGGGTGCTTCCACATCGGGGTCCAGATCCTCGGAGACCAGCTCCAGATCTTCAGAGCTGGGGTCTGCATCTTCAGAGACAGTGTTGAGGTCTTCTGGGTCAGGATGTGGGTCTTCAGAAATCGGATCAAGCTCTTCTGGGTTGGGGTCCAGGTCTTCTGAGTCTGAGTCAAGCTTTTCATAAGTGGGTCTTGGGCCTTTGTGGCCTGGGTTCCTGACCAGGACCGAGCGCCGCATCCTAGGTGTGGAAGTGCCAGCTGCTTCTGGGGCAGGATCTGCAGGATGAGGACAGGGTGGGTGGAGGTAGGTTTTAGGAGGCAGGGGGAGTCTCTTTTGGAAACTGAACAGAGATTGGATAGGGGGCCAGGCTGTGCCTCAGAACCCACTTCTGAACTCCCACATGGGTCCTTTTCCTGTCTCAGACCACAGGGAGATTTGTGACTCACCCTGGGCAGGGAGAAGGATCCTAGTGGGACATGGGGGCCCCTCCCTTCTCAGCCCCACACCTGGACGGAAGTCATGGGACCCGGCACTAGAGGTCTCCAGTACCCAACTCCATGGCTCTGCCCCTCTCTCCATCCTGGACTCCTCCTCTCGTGGGAAGCTTGGGTCCTGTGGAGGAGAGAGAGTCCTAGGTTCCTACTTCGTGGGGAAGAGGGTGGGTGTCTTGGTTCCTGTGCTTGCTGCTAAGTACACGGTTTGAATTCCTGTCCCATAGTCAAGGGTGGCATATGTGGGAGTTCCTGGTAAGGAAGGGGATTTGGCTCACCTCCTAGAGAGGCAGTATCCTGAGTTGAGCAGCCTGTATCTGAGGGATAAGGGCGGGGGGCAAACCACATCTGCTAGTCCTCTTGGGTTCTTAGGGGAGCTCAGGGGCACCCCCGGCTTGCTTCCTGGGGAAGAGACCACCAGAATGCCAGACTTCACAGTTCTAGGGTGAAAGCAACTGGCCAAACACCTGTGTTCCCAAATGCCAGTTCCTAAAGCTAGAGAGGGAGGTGGGGAAATAATATGTGGGACCCGTGGGGGCAGGGGATCCATGGATCCCATAGCCAGGACAATCGGGGCAGGTGTCAGTATACCTGTTGCCCAGCTGGATAGAAGAGCCCGAATTCTAACTCCTAGCTGAGGGCTGGGCAAAAATAGTACCTGGGGCCCCTCTTGGGTGATTGGAGGGACCCCTAGGCCACCTCCTAGGAAGGGGAGATTCCTGAGTGACTGACCCCATGGCCGGAGAATGGGGATGCATGTCAGGACACTTTTTGTCCCCTCTGGAGAGGACAAAATTCAGGAAAGATCCTGAATTCCAGGCAGGAGGCAAGGAGGTGGTGGAAAACAATAGCTGGGACCCCTTTTAGGGAGCAAGAGGAGCTCAGGATTACCTGATGGGAGGTGATGCCTTGAGTTACCCACCCCATGGCTGGGCACTGGGGGAGATTGGCCAACGGATAGATCTGTTCCTGGGAGACAGGGGACCTTTCCTTCTGTGGAGGGAGACATCCTGGGCCACAACCCCATAGCTGGGAGCGGGTAAGCGAATGATGGACAATGAGTTCCTGGATCACCATCTCCATCCAGAACCCAAGGTTGGAGGGTGGGGAACAACGCCTGGGTCCCCTCCTGGGTTCCTGGGGGGCAGGGAATCCTTGGATCACCTCCTGGGGAAGGGGCTTCCAGAACTCTGGACCCCCAAGACTGGAGAGTGAGAAGAATAAGTGGGGTCCTGGGGGACAGAGGGAACCCCTGCATCCCCCTCTTGAGGAAGGGCCTCCTGAAACCCCGACCCCAGGCTCAGAATGGGAAGAACAATGCCTAGGGGCCCTCTTGGGTGCCTGGGGGAGGGCGTCTGGGTCGCCTCCAGGAGAAGGGGTGTCCTGAACTCCCAACCCCAGGCTGAGGGGTTTTCCCTGCCTTATCCCTCCCGATCTAGGGCGCCCAGCTCCGGCCGGGCCCTCTCCGGGGGCCGCAGAAGTGGACTGGGCGCACTAGGCCCGCGGGCCGTTCGGCCCCTCGCATCGCGCCGCGACCCTGCTCTCCCGGGCCGGCGGGGGCG